CGCCCTGCCATCCCGAGTAGAGCCTCATTCAGGAATCCGCACCCGCCCCTGAACACGTTTCTTCAGGGGAGAGAGTCCGGGGCAGGCAAAAAGGGTTTGAGGGGTGCCACTACACCTTTCTGTCTCGAGTGTCCGGTGTGGTGCACACGTGTACCGCAGATGTCATATCGAGAGGTGCACTACGGCTCTCTGTTCCGCCGCGCGCCCACGCACGGGTGCAGCCTGTCGTCGTGCCTCGCCCAATCCGCACTCACCATAATCTGCACCACAATCCGCACTCACCACAATCCGCACGCCCAGCGCATCTGCAACCCCGAGATTCCTCGCCGACCATGGTGCGGTCGTCGATCATAACAACGCCTACACTTTACCCTTGGTACTCCAGAACCACACGACCCCCCCCCGGGTGCCGTCCCGCATCCCCGCCGCACGGTGGCCCTCCCGCAACTTGCCCCATCCCTTCTCCCCGCAATTCGCCCCTCCCCGCCTCCCCGCTCCCTGTCCCCCCACAATGCCCGCACGCCCAGCCGCACCCCCTGCCGCCTTCGCAGCCCCCCTCCCCCTCCCCCTTCTGCGTAGCGCCCCATCTTCCCGCCCCCGCGCTCCGCGCAAATTTCGCCCGCGGGTCCCCGCGCGCCCCAGAATGGGCTTGCTTTCGGAGGGTACACCGCTCTCCTGGCCGGACTCGCGTGAGTACCGCGAGCGCGTCAAGTCCGGCGGAATTGCCCAGTTTCTCACTATCTTCCACGCCGCGAAGCACTTCCGCAACCACGACCTGCGCTGGGGCGACGAGGTCGAGTACCTGCTGCTGCACAAATACCCTCTGGAGCGCCGCGCCACCCTCTCGTTGCGCGGCCCGGAGCTGCTGCAGCTTCTCCAGCAGGAGGAGCACGCCCGCCCGACCGGCTCCTCCGTCCCCGTCCTCTGGCGCCCGGAGTACGCCCGCTGGATGATCGAGGGCACCCCAGGCCTGCCGTACCGCTGCTACGCCGCCGACTTGGCCAACGTTGAACTCAATATGGCCCTCCGCAGGAGCGAGATTGCAAACTTGCTCGCCCCCATGGAGTCCGTCCTCAGCATTACCTTGTTCCCCAGGACGGGCTGCGCCCGCTTCACCACCCCGCCCACCGCCCCCTTCGGTCCCGTCGCAAAGTCCTTCTTTACCAGCGATGACGTCATCAGCCCGCACCCTAGGTTTCCTACCCTGTCCAGGAACATCCGCCTGAGGAGGCAGAGCAAGGTCCGCATGGAACTCCCGCTCTTCATGGATACCAACACGGACCCGCACCGTCCGCTCGTTCCGAGCGACGCGGACGTGCGTGAAATGCTCAACCGCGCCCGAGCTGACGTCGAAGATCAAGACGACCTCACCCTCCTGGAGGAAGGCCTTGCTGAGCGCGTCCGGGAAAAGATTGTCCTGGATTCCACAGCATTTGGCATGGGAGCCTCTTGTCTCCAGGTCACCGTTCAGGGCCGCGACTTGAGCGAGTCCAGGTATCTCTATGATCAGATGGCTGTCATGGCTCCGCTCATGCTCGCCCTTACGGCCGCTACCCCAGCGTGGCGCGGGATGCTCGCGGATACTGATGTGCGGTGGTCCGTGATATCAGGGGCCATGGACGACAGGAGCCCTGAGGAATTGGAGGCTGGTGTGATTACTAAGTCTAGATACAGCTCGATTGATTGCTTTTTATCGTGCCGTGACAGTTTTAAGCCGGAAGAATACAATGATGTCCCCGTGGCGATTAATGAAGACGCGTACAAGCGACTGCGAGAAGGCGGGGTAGACCATATGCTTGCACAGCATGTGGCACATTTGTTCATCCGGGACCCACTGGTCATATACAAGGAGAAAGTGGATCAGGACAATGCGACGTTGACGGATCATTTCGAGAACATCCAGAGTACAAATTGGAACACGGTGCGATTGAAGCCACCACCACCGGGGACGGACATCGGGTGGAGGACGGAGTTCCGGTCGATGGAGGTGGGACTGACGGACTTTGAGAATGCGGCGTTCTCTGTGTTCATGGTGCTGTTATCGCGAGTGATATTTGCGTTCAACCTGAATTTCTACATTCCGATTTCGAAGGTGGATGCGAATATGGAGACTGCACACAAGAGGGATGCGGTGAGGAAGGAAGCGTTTTTCTTTCGGAAGAATGTGTTCAAGGCATCGGATGGGTCAGGATTCATGTGTGAGTGTGGACACATTCACAATGCATCGTTGGTGGGTGGGCAGGCGGAAAGCGTAGACATCAACAAATTTTGTTCGGATGCCTCCGACACCGGTTCGGAGGAGTTCGATTCGATGACTTTGGACGAGATATTTAACGGGAAACCATTGCATCAAAACGGGATGTCCGCTGGGTATGAATTTGCAGGTTTGCTCCCTTTAATGCGTGGGTACTTGGATGCGCTCAAGATTGATGGACCCACAAGGCATCGACTATTGACTTATTTAGATTTCATAGGAGAGAGGGCGGCTGGGAACTTGATGACGAATGCGAGCTACATACGGGACTTTATCATGAACCATCCGGAATACAAGCAGGACTCAAACGTATCGGAGCACATATGTTACGACTTGATGGAGGAGCTAGAGGGGATTTCAGCAGGCGATATCGTGGCCGAAAAGCTATTGGGACGGTTTGAGGCCGAGGGGATTTTCACACATGACGAGACACCCCATACGATGATGGAGCGGATGCAGAAAAAGTTTGAAGGTCCTGAAGCTGCCTTGCTACGTGGGTCGTCGATGCCGAGCTCAGCGTTGGCGGAGACAGTAAGGACGCTTGCAGAAATGAAATCACAGCAGGAAGAAAGTATTTCGCCATCATGATGTCCTCTACGCCGGGTAGTGAGGCAAAAAGAGAAAAAAACAATCGTTGGTCCAAATATTGTCTATCGTGTCACGGAGAAGGAGCTGAGGCATGGACTCGCTAATTCCGTTGTTTCATCACATGCAGGGTAAAAGGATGTTGATCGTTGTGCTGGAATCGCGCGATTTTGAAACAATATCATCTCAGTGCCATATACAGAACTGTAAGACGTCATAGAATCGGCGATTAAATAGTCAAGTTGCTGTGCAGTAGAGTACAATTTTTGTTAAAGCTCGAAATAAGAAAGAAACCTTCTGCACCGCCGCATCGAGCAGAAGCGGCATAACAAGGCTATTCTGGGAACCATTGCACGAGACACTGTTCGAATTGAAGGCGAGAAGAATCGTCGTTTTGTCATGGGCCTATTAACAATTCATGCCTTAATTTGACATGAAAGAAAATTTTCAGGAAAGGAAATGCTAAAAAGAGCCTAGAATAGGATAGCGTGGCTCGTTTTGCTCCTTTTTTCCTCCAATCGAAAGCTTACAGCAGCTTCTGCATGACTAAAATCTGATATGTTGGCAGTGTCTCAGGGCCATCGCGCAGGGAAGCTCGTTGTGACCATCAAAAACAGTGCTCAAATCACATAATCCCAAATTTGACACAAGAATGATTGAGTTTGGCCCAATACAATTTAATGCAAATAACTACCCTCGTACTCGGTGTCAATGTGTGCTGCCAAGCACACTTTTCCCTTGAGCAGCAAGCCTTCGTCGAAGGAAGCGGCGGTGGTTCCTTGTCTCACTTCAGCGCTTTCTTTTTTCAATGCGCTCATCAGCAAGGGCGGCATATCTCCGCATTGCAACTGCCGACTCAGCCCCCGCTGCGGAACCCTCACCTTGTGCTCTGCTTTTAGTTCTCCTTCCCTCGTTTTGTGCTCGTTTTTCTTCCCTTTCCTTGAGAGCTTGCAAAACAAGTTTGCTTGTCAAATGAGCTCCATTTGCAGTACTGATCCTGACGCGCCCTTCGTCCTCCACGTCTGCATCCCTCAGTAAAGATCGCTGGCTTTTGTTGAAAGCAAAAATAAGTTTCTCTACAGTAACCTCGTCACCAACTTTAAAAAGTCTGGAAAGCGATTGCGGTTGAGAATTCGGGGCATTAGCGCACCAGTGACGGAACGCCGTTCTAATCTTCGAGACAGAAACTTTGTGCTTGATAGCTAGAGACTTGTAAGGGGTAGGGGACTCTCTCTGCCGATCGAAAACCGGTTCCCGAAGACGAAACGTTTCGAAGTCCATCGTTGAAGAGGTGGCGGTTCTTTGCAGTTCTTTGCAAAATAGAAGGATATATAGTGTCGTGTGTCACGAAAAGGCGCCAATGTTTGAATGGCAGGGGAGTCCGGCCTTTGTCCATCGCCATAAATCGTGGAATAGGGGACTATCTTTGGAGAAAGACGAAGTTGTGTTAAGAGAACAGTGTTTCGGTGTCGGGGTTCGCGGGAAATGCTGGGCTGACGATCAAATTTTCGACATGTCAAATTTATCCGATTTGCTAAATTAGGGCATGTACTGTTACATACTGCAGCGCGAGCGGGAAGGAGAGGAGATAGCAGGCCAACCCTTAAGTTTTTGATACTGTACAGCAGCGGGCTCTATATCGGCTCGACTAGTAGAGAAAGCGTGGGTGTACCACTACAAGATTCCGGGCTCGGAGATTGTCAGCGGTTCGAAGAGGAGACAGTGTGGATATCAGATCGCCAGGCATCTGTTCCAATCGTGGACCGCCGCGACCGAGGTCGAGTGAGAGATAAACTTTAGCATACTGTACCAAGGGTACTGTAGTTAGTAGTCCAACTCTGCACAGCGCTTTACGCATAGGTTCGACATCTTCCAACTCGGAGAGGGTCACATGTTACATAGGGTACAAGTATTTTTCGTGGAAAGCAATGGCTGGATGAAAACTCACAGGGGTGCGAAATCACTGGAACAGGCCATGAGCCGTCCGCCAATCTCCAAGAAGAGCTATCATACGTTTGTATCGCTGTGCACTCGTGTGCAAGGCAGCCTTTGTGCGAGACACATAGTGTAGACGGAAGCGAGAAGTCAGCGTGCATGACTCGAGGACTACGGGTGCAAACGACGGATGTGTGGGAGGGACAGACTGTGGAGAAAATGCAATGACGTGTAGAGCGCGGAAGTGTGGACTTCCGAGACGGAGGGCCGCAGAGAGCAAGGAGGACAAAAAGGGATGCTGCGTGCGTCGAAACTTGGCATTTTGTCTGCACGTGATTGAATCTCGCTGACCAATCACGTATCTCGTTATGCTACGAAAAATGATGGTAGCCGTATATCTTGGTTTGCAGTTATCCAATGAGCGGCGCAGAATGCGTTTGGGACATGTCCTGAGAATGTTTGCATTGTCACGAATCCTCAATTGTTTTGCTCCCATGGCAACCTCCGAGTCTCCCAAGAAACATTGCGCGCGAAGCTTACGGGTATGTCTGGCAATGCTCAGGTGTCACCTCAGCGTTGCCATCCGAATATCGCCTCCTTTGCGTGCCCACTCACATTCCTTCAGGTGTGATGCGGGTTGCTTGGATTCAAGATTTTTTTCTTTCCGAAAAGACTCTGTGGAGACACAGCCATCCTCCGTCGGCCTCACTGAGCTTACGCTCATGTAGAGTCGTTCTCATACCGTTCCCGGACTGTCCCCTTTTCAAGCCAAGTCAGGTCATGGGCAGAATCAAAATCGCACCCCTTGTCTAGATCCGTCATCTACTATTTATTGAAGTCTCTTCCTCTCTTGCTCAAATTCCTTTCCCTCCCACAACACCCCCTTTCCTGTTCAATCGCATAGTTTCTCCCTGGGCCCTGTTTCGAATATTGTACCTTCACTCCACGTCAAGAAACACCATGGGTCTACTTACAGAAGGCACGCCTCTCAGCTGGCCGGAATCCGAACCATATCGCGAGAGAGTCAAGAGGGATGGCATCGAGCAGTTCTTGCACATTTTCCACGCGGCCAAGGACTTTCGCAATCACGATTTGAAATGGGGAGACGAAGTGGAGTATCTGCTCGTCAAGATGGACAAAAAGAAGAAGAAGGCCACCCTCTCGCTGCGAGGACCCGAGCTGCTTGACGTTCTTCAAAGGGACGAACACTCTCGCCCAGCGGGCTCGTCTGTCCCAGTACTCTGGCGCCCAGAGTATGCGCGCTGGATGATAGAAGGCACACCGGGTCTGCCATATCGATGTTATGCAGCTGATTTGGCAAACGTAGAGCTCAACATGGCTTTGCGTCGAAGTGAGATAGCTAAGTTGTTGCGGCCGTCAGAAACCGTACTGAGCATCACCTCATTTCCGCGCATGGGCTGTGACATATATACGACGCCCCTAACTGTCCCGTTTGGCGAGGTCGCAAGGTCATTTTTCACTAGCGATGATGTGATCAGCCCGCATCCTCGCTTTCCCACTCTCACGAAGAATATCCGTCTTCGTCGCGGAGAGAAGGTCCGCATGGAGGTACCTCTATTCATAGATTACAAAACTTGCAGGGGACAAAGTGTCTTACCCAAGCTGCCCTTTGACTACGGGCTGTTGGATCATGCCAAGTCAAACTTCGACAAGGCAGAAGACCTTCATAGCCCTGATTTTGATCTTATCGAGGAGGGATACGACGACTACGTGGAGGAGAAGATTGTTCTCGATTCCACAGCCTTTGGAATGGGCTCTGCATGCCTGCAGGTCACTGTGCAGGGCCGCGACTTGAGCGAGTCCAGGTATCTCTATGATCAGATGGCTGTCATGGCTCCGCTCATGCTCGCCCTTACGGCCGCCACTCCGGTGTGGCGAGGACAACTCGCGGATACTGATGTGCGGTGGTCCGTGATATCAGGGGCCATGGACGACAGGAGCCCTGAGGAATTGGAGGCTGGTGTGATTACTAAGTCTAGATACAGCTCGATTGACTGCTTTCTGTCGTCCCGCGACAGTTTTAAGCCAGAAGAGTACAATGATGTCCCCGTGGCGATTAATGAAGACGCGTACAAGCGACTGCGAGAAGGCGGGGTAGACCATATGCTTGCACAGCATGTGGCACATTTGTTCATCCGGGACCCACTGGTCATATACAAGGAGAAAGTGGATCAGGACAATGCGACGTCGACGGATCATTTCGAGAACATCCAGAGTACAAATTGGAACACGGTGCGATTGAAGCCACCACCACCGGGGACGGACATCGGGTGGAGGACGGAGTTCCGGTCGATGGAGGTGGGACTGACGGACTTTGAGAATGCGGCGTTCTCTGTGTTCATGGTGCTGTTATCGCGAGTGATATTTGCGTTCAACCTGAATTTCTACATTCCGATTTCGAAGGTGGATGCGAATATGGAGACTGCACACAAGAGGGATGCGGTGAGGAAGGAAGCGTTTTTCTTTCGGAAGAATGTGTTCAAGGCATCGGATGGGTCAGGATTCATGTGTGAGTGTGGACACATTCACAATGCATCGTTGGTAGGAGGGCATGCCAAATGCGTAGACATCAACAAGTTTTGTGCGAGGAGCCAAGGCGGAGACAGTTCAGATTCTGATTCTGACCCCTTCGACTTGATGACGTTAGATGAGATTTTTAATGGCAGGCCAATGTGTTGGAATGGGAGAGCAGCTGGATTTGAGTTTCCGGGGTTGATTCCGCTGATGCGTGGGTACTTGGATGCGCTAGAAATTGATGCACCAACCAGGCAGCGTCTGCTCACATACTTAGATTTCATAGCAGAGCGGGCTGCTGGAACTCTGATGACTAATGCCACCTACATGCGTGACTTCATTTCTAGGCACGGGCAATATCGAAGCGATTCGATCGTATCTGACCGCGTATGCTATGACTTAATGCAGACGCTGGATGGTATTTCAAAAGGAGATGATAACTACCAATCACGCGCACTGCTCGGACGTTTCCAAGCCGAGGGCATATACACACATACTGAGACCGCTGACACGATGATGGAACGCATGCAGAAAATATTTGAAGGTCCCGAAGGCGCACTGCTATACGGGTCGTCAATGCCCCGCTCAGCATTAGAAGAGACCGTCAAATCCATAGCGCTCGAATCGAAAAGCATCAGACGTTGCAAATCTTGTTGAGGAATCGATTGCTGATGAAACGGAGGCTGGTGGATGGTTTCGATGCGTCTCACAGAATGTGTATTGAGCTATACAAGCGCGTGTCGCGGCAACATTCGGGAGTGTGAGTTGCTCTGTGTATCGCCGTGCACATTCGTTGTATACTAAGAAGGGCGACGTATATATCATTGCCCTTTGTAAAATGAGTCGAATCCGTTTTGCGGAACGATGTACCAGCATTGCCAACGTGTTCGTACCAACAGAGTCGAAAAGTCCTCTGAAGCACCGAGCGGACATCATTGCCACCAACTCGCGTTGTAGTCGGATTCTTGCGTATGCAGTTGACTTGTGAAATGGAAGACGATGCAGCCAAACAGAAAACCGAGGCTATCTCCTTGTTCAATTTAGCGGCACACTGGATGCCTCTTCAAGACTGGCCCTGTTGGTTTTGCTTGTCCAGTACTTCTCTTCGAAGACGCTCCCTCTCAGCATCTCTATACACTCCCTGTCGCATCCTGCGAAGCTCTCGTTTCTGATCCCAGTGAACGTAAGAGATAGTTGAAGCAGTGACAACCATGGTCAAGCCCAAAGCGAGATATCCCTTGGACATTTCTCGTACTAAACGATCCTGGATGAGCAACACGTCAAGCTACCACCGCCGTGTTACAGCTCTGGAGCACAGCACGACTTTGCCACTGTCCCGGCGATGAAAAAGCTTTCTCCACGACGTCCTCACTCCTCAAATGGGGATTTTCTGACGAGGTGCGGTGCGAGAAATGCTCCTGACCGGCCAGGGGATGGAATGAAGAAGACCTGCCCAGTTACAGTTCTCACTCTATGGCTTCACAATAAAAGACATGCACCAATGGAGGAAACGTCAGCACGTATCATTCCGTACAGTGCATTCTCTAATTCATTTCATTTTACAGTACGACTGTTTTCCGTGACTGACGAACTGACGAATCCCACTGACGTTCTTCCCAAAACGTCAGCGGGATTCGTCAGTTCGTGCTGTGTTGGGATCTTTAGATCATCTCTGCACCGTGGACAGCCGATTTGACCAGTCTCACTCTAGAGCTTGCGGGGCGTCGCTGCACTGATCGCTGTTTGCAGACTTACCTGTCCCCAGCTACTATTTAAACATCACCTGCAGCGCTCGCCATGACAGGAAAGCCTGGGTCACTAAGGAGTAGTGAAACTTCATTCGCACCACGCGATCTACGTGACCGTCGCATGGCCAAACTTGCAAACAATTCGTACGTGCACTACCTTTCTCCCCTCATCCATTCGGTTCGTGATGATACAACAGAACTCGCACTGTCTTACGCCCACAAAGCTGGGCGCTTGATGAGACGTTCTTAACTTATGCTGTTTACCCGTCTGAAATTGAGATTGGAGGACATTCGTCGCTTGCATACGCTACAACTCGAAGCTAACAGATGATGCGTGATTTCTCCTTTTTCTTCATGCCATGTTTCAGCAGGATTAACAGTGAACGGACAGGAAAATAGCAAAAACGAGAAACCCTGCTCATCTTGAAGGCGGGGCGAGCGGCTTCCCACAGAATTGCGCAGTACAGTCAGCCAGCGTCTGATCAATAGTGTACAAGCTTTAATCCGCACTCTCGTAGATTTTCCCTTCGTAAAGTATCCCCACAGTAAATTATCACTCCCGGTTGTTCCCACGATGGGGTAATTGTAAGACTGGAACTAGAGCCGAGTTAGCAACTATTCTGCATCTGAAGGACCTTCGCCAACGAAGGTGCCATCGTAGTCACAATGCTACCGTCAGAATACTAGTCGCTAGTTGAGCCCAATCGCTGAAGCAATTTGAGGGATGTGTATCGAGTGGAGGCCGATGTACGTAGCGATACCCGCACCGAAGCCGGCGAGCGTCGGTAAGCTGATCTTCTTGGCGTACCACCCAAAGTCCACCCTTTCCATTCCCCTGTGGATTGTAAGATGAGTTGAAGATAGTTACATTGGAAGGAATACAAAATGAGATGGTGTTAGAAGTCCGAAGTCAAGATCGCAGGCATAGGGTTTGCTGGTAAAATTCAAGAAAGGCCGAACGTACATAAAGGCAACACCTGCCGCACTCCCAATGATCAAAATACTTCCTCCAGTGCCCGCGCAGAAGGCAATCAACTGCCACAGATCACTGTCTTGGGGAACCTGCTCGAGTGAGTACATTCCCATAGTAGCGGCAACGAGTGGCACATTGTCCACAACGGAACTCAACAATCCGATAGCGGTTGCGATCAATTCTCGGCTTGCAAAGTTGGCGTCCAAATAGTGAGCAAGGTCACTTAGAAGACCTGCTGATTCCAACCCGCCAACCGCAAGCAGAATTCCTAAGAAGAAAAGGACACCGGAAGTGTCTATTCTCTTCACCGCTGCTAGGCCTCGAAGTGATTCTCGGTTTTCTCCAGCGTGAAGGGCATCCGTCATTACCCATAGAGTACCCAGTCCAGAAAGCATCCCCAGATACGGCGGCAGCCCAGTGATGGACTTGAAAACCGGCACGGATATCAAAGCAGCAAGACCCGTCCAAAAGACGATTCTCGCACGCGGTGCTAGTTCCACGGCACCCTTGTCAGGTCTCTCAAATTCGCCTTCCCCGACCATTGGCGTGAAGAAGGCTAGAGAAGTCAACAGAGAAACGAAGGAGGGAATAAAAAGGTCGGTCATGGTCTTGAAGGCAGTGATATTGCCGTGCACCCAGAGTTGTGTCGTGGTGACATCACCAATTGGTGTCCAAGCGCCGCCCGCATTGGCTGCGACGACTACAACCGCACCATAGAGCCATCGGTCTTCCTCGTCCGCCACCAATTTGCGAAGAAGCGAAACGATGACGATGGTAGATGTGAGATTGTCAAGAACGGCACTTACGAAAAAAGTCAAGATACCAATTGTCCATAACAGCTTCTTTCTATTATTGGTGGTGATAAAATCGGTGACGACCTTGAAGCCTCTATGAGCATCAATGATCTCGACGATAGTCATTGCACCGATCAAGAAGAAGAGGATCTGGGAAATGTCGCCGAGCTGCTCAGAGAGGAGTTCCTTGACATGATGGGCGGCCTCCCCACCCCCCGAGTCAGTCATAAGCACGGTCCAGACGCCGACGCCCATGAGAAGGGCAACGCCTGTCTTGTCGAATGCAATAGCCTCCTCAAGGATGATACCGAGATATCCAAGGACAAAGATTCCCGTCATTGCCAACTGGAGATGGTCTTGGACCCAACTATGCTCTAAAAGAGCAGCGATGACGGCGACAATGACACCAACACCCCCAATTCGAATGGCGTCGGAGGGACCGAGATTGCTTTCTTCTTCATCTGCAACAATATCTTTCGCGGCATTGGGTCTGATCATGTCATGTGAAGCCTGAGCGGCCCGGAAAGGGTCCTCAATGCTTTCAATTGAGCTTGCTTCGTCGTCCGATAGTGGTTGGTCATTGGCTGTGACGTCGGGAACGCCATTAGCGATAGAAGGCTTGGAAGCCCTTTCCTTTTGATCTGGATTTGTGGTCATGGCAATTGCTGGTCTTGCACGACGGAAATAAATGTGCCGTTTCGGCGAGGTTTGGGCTAGAGCGGTGCCAACATAAGAGCGACCGAGCCTAGGCTTTCCGGCGAGGAAACCATGACTAACGAAAGCCATTGCTTGGTATTAGAGGATTATCCACACCCACAATTCGAAGAAGGAACGCGGAAAAGGATGGCGATAGGGGGGTGTATGTGGCGTTTTGGTGGGGTTTAGAGCAATTGGTCCTTGCTCTTGTTTTGATGAAATGAAGGGTCCCGATAGACGATGCGCAGTTGGACGGAGTCACAATCGTTATGCGAGGATGCGCTTGATACAAAGATAGGTGTATAGTCGGTATGGTTCGGAGGTCTCACAGCCTAGGCGTGTGGACGCCGGACGGGGGAATGTATAGAGACGTCCACAGGACGTCTCTATACAAACGATACGTCGATTGAGCGAAAGCATTTTTCATTGATCAACAGCCATCCTTCCTGTGTTTATCTCGTGGACACATGCCACAAAATTATCGGGAAAAAAGGCCAGCCGTGGCCCACAAAAAATTATTCATTTCAACATCAATAGTATAAAAGACCAATCACGGGCAGTTTCCACCTGAGACCATGTCAAGTCTATCGCGATGTCGGTGGAGAAACCCCAAGGGCTTTTGCAGTTCAGATGGTAAGGCGAAACGCCTCTCTTGGAAATGAAAGAGGCGCATCTGTGCATGAACTGCTGCCATGAGGAAGACACTTGGCTCCATAGGAATGATCTTGCAGTACAGGTGGACTACAATGCTCCTCATGGGGGCGGATCGGATAAAATTCTGAAAACAAGCAAAATGCCATAAGTTGTTTCAGAATTCAACAAAAATGGTCCGGAGTTGTCGCCCAACCAGAGACACGTGTGCATAACAGGGTGGACCGTTATACTACGAGAGAGCTAAATTTTCAAAATATTTTCTGCCTCAGTTACCTTCGCATATTAAGGAATTTCTTGTATCTCGCCTGAACATCTGAACGCCTTGCAGATATAATTCAGATTCAGTATGAGTGGCTTTCCATGATGAATGACAAAGTACCCTTGGTACTGTACCAAGGGTACTGTACATAGTATGTACAGTACCAAGGGTACTATGTACTACATACATGCCCTGCGGTGGTCCCGGATATTGTGCCACCGAAGACCAGCATCGACTGCGGGTGCTCGGTTCCACTGCTTTTACCTTCTGCTCTGTTTTGTAGTTGTTCACTTTGTCACGATTTGCTCGTTGCATTCCGGACTGCCCCAAGACTCATCAACTTGCGCCACCATCACAAATTTAACGACCGTTTCGTGAGCAGATCCCTTTTTTTACTTGAGAAAACAGGTACCCGCACTGCCGCCAAGTCCGCTCTTCGAATCAGTTTACACATTCGTATTCGAAGGGATGCCGAGTTGCCCCCAGGTGGATGATATTTACAGGGCCGAGTATCACATTCCCTTCGCACCTGGAGAGCGATTAGCATCAGCCGAGTTGAATCCAAAGTCCGTTTGAAGATGCATCAAACACGGTCTGCTACAATGCCTTCCGCCAAGACTATCACTCCACGTGCCAAGGCTTTCAGCGCAACCCAAGTCGACACACAGCTCGCATCCACAGTCGCCGGAATCGCCAGCAGGGTCTTGCTTCACCCCATCGACTGCGTCAAGACTCGCTATCAACATCTGCGCGGACGCCCGGGATGTGTTGACTCTAACGCTAATATCTTCAAATTCATTGCTAAGGAGGGCGTCCCCGGTCTCTATCGGGGGATTTTCAGTGCAATAGCGGGTGTGATCCCCTACTCTATGTGTACGTCAGCGTGTTATTTCCTTCCTTGGACAGACCTGCGAGTGTTCTCCACACTTTACGCAGCTCTCATCACTGACATGTTCTGAATTCGAGTTTCATCTCAGTATACATGCCTAGCTATGAACTTGCTCAATTTCAACTTGGCAAACGCCTTGGTTCGAAACAACTCTTGGGCTTTCGTCATATCCTAGCGGGGTCCATTGCGGGTCTCTGCGGTTCGATCGTGAAAGTCCCCATGGACGTTGTCAAGAAGCGACTGCAGGCAGGCTTGTACCCCAACATGTCCGTCGCATTAATTTCGATCGCCAATGAAAGCAACCGTCGCTTCCTTTTCAGTCCAATGCTGCAATTTTATGCAGGATGGAGAAGCTCTATTATTTATGATGTGCCCTACAATGCAGTGCAGTTCACTGTACTTGAAAACGTGAAACGTGAACTACGGAAAATGAGGGGAAAGGAACTCGGGAAACTGGACAACGTTCTGGTAGGAGCAATTACTGGAATGATTACATCTGTCCTCACAGAACCTGTACGTTTTACATTTATTAAGGTTATGTTCTATTTGCTCTCTACGTTTCCACTAACTGTAACCTTGATTTGTGTTCATGACCCACTCGGCCATGCCCACTCGGCCATGTGAAATTTTGCGACACTAGCTGGACGTTATCAAGACTCGAATGATGACGCAGAGGCTGCGGACGTCTTCACCGGGCGTCACTTTGTACAAAGGCTGGGTGCATTGCGTACAAACAATTGTCAAAGAAGAGGGCTCAATGGCATTGTGGAAGGGGACCTTGCCACGTTTAGTGTGGGTTGGGGCAAGTAGCGCAATATGGTATGGAACTTACCAAGCGGCACGACAATCGATGATGACCCGTAGGCAGAATGAGGTCAAAAAGCCCTCAACACAATCGCAACCTCGATAAAAGTCGTTAAAGGTTGTGTAGAGAGCAAGGGTACTGCAAGTTCCAAAACTACGCATGGGGGTTTGCCCAAACCCGCAGCTGGTATGTTAATATTGAAGAGTGAGCCGTATGAGAACACCATCAGTCTTGTGGCTTTCCTTTTTGAAATCAGCTTCTATACGCTTTCCCGTAGTCGCCTTGCATAGTACAGTAATCCCCGGCACAAGAATATCACTTTAAGAGAATATTCATTTTAAGGTTTACGCAACAAGAGTTTCACAAATAAATGTGAGAAATAGCGATATGATAGAGACTTATGAAAATGATGAATTTTAGAACAAGAGCAAGTGTAGACATTTGTTTACGCAAAATTCACTTGAATACGTACGTAGGAGTATAACTTAGACCCCTCTGCTCTGTGCGTCCTCAAAGAGCCGATCTCGAGACTCTCTGGCACGCACCATGGTGCTCGGGCGACAAAAAAGACCACACAAAGCAGGCGGTTTGCTCACGAATTGCGGGGTGGACTACTTTGCTACCTCGTCTGTTTTTCTGATAGTCTAAACTTTCCCATACGAAGCCCATGCTAAGCCAATGCATGCATGGCGATTTACCCATACTTGCACGAGCAGAAATTTCCCAAGTGTTTCCTATGCGGAGAAATGCGCCATGATTGCGTGGACGTGCATGGCCTGGTTCATGGGCTTGCATTGGTAATTTGCATGGGCTTTCATGGGTTTGCATTGGCCATGTGCATGGGATTGCATTGGGAATCTGCATGGGCTTGCATGGGATTTTCCATGGGCTTGTATTGGACACCTGTATGGGCTTGCATGGGATTTTGCATGGGATCGCATTGGGAATCTGCATGGGCTTGGAAGGGATTTTTGCACGGGTTTGCGTGGCCATCTGCATAGGCTTGCATTGGCCATATACATGGCCTTGCATGGGCTTTCTGCATGTACTTGATTTGGCTATTTGCATGGGCTTGCATTGACCTTTGCATAGGCTTGCATGGGTCTACTGGGCGGTTTTCTTTCGCTCTAGCCGTACAGGTTTCCTCTTTTAGTTTATGCTACGAGCATAAACTAATGGAGGAGACTTGCATAGTTTACAACACTACAATACAAGACCCGAACGTCGAGGCAAATCTTTTCGCGCTTGCAGCTGCTGGGGATGGTGGCGGTCGCGAGTGGAGCCCGCCGCCCGCTCCGCTAGTACACTTTTTTGGCAGGCGGTGTCGTGTGCTTCTGGCTATGCAGCGCCGTTCGCGGTCTCTCGCAAAGCGCTAAGAGTGGCCGGCCGGAGCGGGGCCGGACAGCTGTGGGCGGCATCATGCACTATAATGGTGCACGGCGCATCCCAAGATCGTTCCAATGCTGACATGCTAGTGGCGCACCAGCAAAGCCTTTGTTGCGTCAAGTCAAGTCGAATTGAACTATTGAGTCGGAGAAACTTTGTTCGTGCCTTCCATGACTCTCTGCGTCGGCCACGAAGACACTCCATGGAGTGTCTTCGTGGCCGACAACTGTGCACAGTTGTAGCAGCAGGGGGCTACGCGAAATGCAAAGCAAACGTCAAATCGCGAAAATTTCGACGAACATAGAACTTCCTTGTGGTTGTCGATAGGCGTACTAAAAGAGTCAGTAAAGAGTAGGGTACACTTGTGAGACGTGCAAAGAGTCCGCCAGATGGAGACCTCACTTACCTTTCATCCAGTACGCAGTCCAGCAGACACACAATCGTGTATTCCTCACCGTGACGGTTGCAAGCAGTGCATGACTAAATGAGATTGTGTTCACACACTGGCAGTCTGTCAGCAAGGACCTGGGCCGACGCCGTAAGTTGAACAAAGACTCTCTCGTAGTGGAAAGATCGATTTGTACGTACCGTGAGTTGTAACAACTGGCTATGCATTCTGAGAACGAAACACCAAACTTCGAGAGTCTCACACTTTAGCATTGACCGTTAGCAAGGAATCATATGTAGTCAGCATAATGAAAGCACTTGATCGCTAAAGCAATTTTGAAATGAATGCTGCGAGAGTACGGGAGAGTCCGCTTCGAGTCATCTAGATTGTAGCAGCTCGAACCATGTGTAGATATTCTAACTCCAAGTCCATAGCATAATCAAATGCCTCAACGTCCGGGGGCGCTGGATAGCTGATTCCACTTGCAGTGGCCAGTCGACGGAGCGTCGCAGGATTGCACAGCTTGATACATACTAACTTGATATGTTTTGTTGTGCGCCTCTACGCCACGTACACGGCTGTCTATTACACAGCTGAGCGTGTAGCGTAGAGGCGCGAAAGAGACTGCATCCCATGCAGCCTTATTGGGCTTGGTAGTGCCTCACGGACGGTTTGTTCGTATCGTACGAACACTGACGTCCGAGTACCTGTTCGTCTCTGTATGCTTGGCGAAGTCGCTTCAGGGGCCCATGCGTCATCCTCACAAGCCAAAAGCGTAAACCGATCGCGCTGGCACTAGCGCTGTCGGCCGTGCAACGCAAAGCTCGCGTGGGATGGCGACCAGCCGCCGGGCGATTTCAATAATACCCTTGAATGAAAACATTTTCGGCAGATTACTGGGCCAATCAAAAGGCACCCCTCCCACGTTGTGGACCTCAAGCAGATCATGATGCTCTTGCTCAGTTTTTTTGCCACTCACCGGCAAGCCCATGTGGAAGAGCATCAACAGCAGGGCCAGCTTCTTCACGAAACTTGTGCCTGCGCCATGCACCACGTTTCTGTTTGTTGCCCGTACTGCAGAGAAAGTTTCCCAAGGCAGGCCTACCTAGGAGCCCACAAGAAAAAATGCAAGCAGGCAGCAGTAGATGAAGCTGAGGCACAAGAGGCTGACGCTTCTGACTCACCGCCACCCGTGAAGTCTCGTCGTTTGCGTGGGGGCTTCCAACTCACCGGTCGTGCCTTGCAAGAGCGGTATGAGGATAGGATCCGACTGGCAGCGCAAGATTCGAATGTTATCCTGCCAGCCGCCGGCCTTAGCAAAACTTTTTCGCCCCATTTCGCACTGGATGCAACAGGGCAGGATGAACGACAGGCAGAGGCAACCGCAGCTGATACGTCAGGTGTAGAGGAGTCGCAAGCTGAGGATGCGACGAAGGAAGAGGTGGTTCACGCACTGCGAAATGTGGTGCTGGAGATCTGCGACAAAGGTGGTGATCGACAGGCGAACACAATCATCAATCTCCTCCAACATCAGTCATTTGATGCAAGCTTACTCAGGATCGGCTTCGAATCTATTCAGGAAATGCGCCAGAAAGCAGAATAGGACGCTAAATGCTGGCTCGCGGATCTGAACTTCAAGCAGCAGACCATCTACGACCCCAAGAACTGCAACGTGTATGGAGTTGGCTGGTTCCGCTCGCCAGTCGATTCTCTCAAGCGCCAATTTGCAAAAGCTCAGTCACACCAGCTCTTCTTCGATCCATTCATAGAAATGAACCGCGCCAATGTAAGAGTTTACAATCACACGATGGGCTGCGCTCTTATAGAAAACGTGGTTCCTCTGATAAAGGACTTCATCATCAGTGGCGATGGCGGTCGATTCTGGATTGATAATTACAGCTTCGTCGGAGCGATTCAAGCTTACTCAGACAAATCGTGCCAGACTTTGAAAGTCGGATCTCACTCCTTCCTGCCTTTGCATATCTGCTCTCTGAACATGACTCAGACGATCCGACAGGAGCTCATCTCCAACGGCGACACTATCGTTGCGTACTTTCCAGTTGAATTCGTGCGGGCTGCAATTAATGTTGCCAACTCTACCGGCGATGACGAGGAATATTGGTGCCGCGAGGAAGAGGAACAGACTTTTGTAATGCCAGAAAGAGTTTCAGTCCAAGAGCGGCGATTATCGAAGAGCCGTGTATTTCAGGCATCAATCAAGGAGGCCTTGCTTCCGCTTTGGGATGTATCGCGCACTGGAATAATCGTAGCAGATGGAGAGGGAAATGTCCGAAAATGCCACCCTGTTCTAACCTCATATGTTGCGGATATGCCCGAAGCATTGGACGTGGGGGGCACGGTGCACGGGCACTGGGGGGTACACTGCGAAGCTCGATCTTGCCTCGGAAGAGCCTTGCATTCCACGTAATATCTTGGACACTGTGCAGCGATTGAATAAATTCGAAGTCGCTGAGCAGGCTTGTGATACGGCGAGAAAGAAGTCTCTACAAGAAAACATGAGACTGGTGGGCGTGACGACGGTTCGCCCTGCCCTTTTGAAGTGGCCGTTCATGGATCTAACCGAAGAACTGGCACTGCCGAGACTGCTGCGTTTTAAAACATTGCATAATTTTTTCCTGGGTTTATCGCGGACTCTTAAGGTCTGTGCGAGCGAAATGTTGAAAGATCCATTGCTAAGCACGACAGAGCTGCTGAATTCCAAAGGAGGTCCAAGAAAGCTCAAGTCGGCTAGAGTCGAGGTATTGAAAAGATGTAACGCGTTTCTAAAGCGTATTCAGGCAGAATCGCCCTGCGTGGGGCTTAAGTTTGATTTCACGAAGTCCGGGACAAACGATGAGCTCTCTGGGTTCTTCACATCAACAGGGGTAGTTGCCATGCTTGAGGCCAAAGACCTCGCCGGCATTGATCAAGTCATGCCATTCGTCTTTGCTCTGTTGGACAGGCTTTGTGGCACTATTAATAAGTCTCCTTTGACGACTGTTTGCGTCCTTTACCATGAACTGGTGGCTACAGCTACCTCCCGCTTCTCGGAGCCTGGCTTCACCGCAGTTGAGCTCGACGCGCTCGCCGACCAGATCTCAAATTTCCAGGACAAAGCAATCGAGGTGTTTGGCAAGTACCAGGCAAGTGGTATGGCATTTCCGAAATTCCATGCTCTTCGACACCTTGTCTCAGACATCAAGATGTGTGGGAGCTTATCAAACTAAAGCGCGGACTCGTACGAGGCAAGCCACAAACTGTTTAAGACAGCATATGACAAGACTTCGAAACGCAAAGACACCAGGCAGGAAGAGGCAATGCGGCGCTTGGTGCTTGCTCAAGGAGCTCAAGAGGCCAGTGCGAGGTCGATGAGCACCCGGATGCTTCCGCTCAGGGAGGAAGTCATCGCCAAGCTAATGGGTAAGCGCAGAAGGACGGAATCACTCACAAAGATCAAACAGGAGATGGTGCGTGAGGACGCTGCAGGCTTGTCTGGTGAGGGCGGCACAATGATGTGGGCAGAGATTCATGCACATGCAGGTTCATGCGGCAGCCTTCTCCAGCACTCAGGCGAGCTAGGACCCAACATTGCGGTGCAAGAACTTTGCGAAGATGTCGGAGGTCCCGGACGTTTGCAGTGGTATATTGATTCAATCCATGCGCAGCACAGGCCACTGGCTGACTCTGTTGTGCGAAGACCCGCTACTGCATCTGTTGCTGGCCTCCCGTGCCCAACGTTAAAGGGCTGTGAGGCGCCTGAGAGCGGCGCTGGCGACTTTGAGATTTTAACTATGGACAATGGAGACAGAGAGATGCAGCGTGCCGTCTCGTCACACAGCTACTACAGCAGCAAAGTAGCGAGACAGGATAATGTCATGATTGAGGAGAGTGGCGACGATCCGCCGGGAGGCACTGGCGGAATTGTGCCTCGAAAGGTCTACATTGCGAAAGTACTGGCTTTTATCGCTATCAAAATCCCGCGACGGGGTCACCTCCTGGCTGAGGCATCTGTGAAGAGAGATGACATCGAGATTTGTTTCATTCGGTACTACGATCGTGTTCACGGGGACGAAATCGACGCGGTTGACCGCGCCTTGAACTGCGTGAAACTTCGTTGGGCTGTGAGGGGAGAAGATGAAACTGTTTCTCCAGGAGCACCTGCGTGCGAAGCTGAAACGTCTACGGAAATGACAAATCTCGCTTACATTGATGTGCAATATGTCGGCTCAATCCGCGGCTTGCTTCACGTCGTTCGTTGCGATGATGAGTTGGGAGGCACGAGGTCGCAACCATCCCTCATCCGCAGTGGATGGGAGACGCATCGATTCTACATCAACCGATTTAAGCAGCCAATGCGTAAGATGAGGTACTCCACTGCAGACCAGCATGATCACAGACCTCACGACCCGTAATGCTCCTTCTACTTAATCGCAGCCTTAGCACTGCAATGGGAACCGCTGGGACAACTCTGAGAATACGGACCGCTCGTCAAAATCTTGAAAAGACACTGACTGAGTCAATCGAGACAAAGAGCGTCCCACAATGGCGATCGTGATAAAGTGTTTTCATGCCTCCCCGCTCAAGAGAGCTGATGTAATCAGGATGCAAGATTCTTCAGAAAGCAAAATGCGTGGCAGTTGCAAAAATCATACACACATGCACCTGCGTACACGTGAGCAGCCATAAACATTTGCCCAACTGTCCTCAAGCTGCACACACAATCCCATTCCCTATCGCATTGCCTTTCTCGCTGTGACGTTCTACGCAATAACAACTGTACCACTTGTAAAAGCTCGGTCAACATCGCTCCGCGGCACATCCACAGAAGCCTCAACAAACCATTCCCGATTCCCGCATCGCCTCCCTCCTTCTTTGGTCTTACTCAGCGCCAGCAAACCATGGCCCCCGCGCACCCCTCCTCTCTCTCCCCCTCCTGAAACGCACCATGTCTGGTCTCCCCAATCGCAGCGAGAAACCCCGAAACCCCCCCGTTCCACACTCATCCTACTGTTGCTTGGTACAGTACTATCATTCGTGCCAGATGCGAAATGCTACCAGTATACACACGCCCTCAATTCCTCTAGATCAGCGCCGCATGTATTTCTCCCGTCTTTCTCGACCCACACGTCGCGCCTGGACGCCATCCGATAGACTCGCAGGAAAAATTGGAAGGGCTGAAAAAGTTGTTGTCTCTATCCCGCATGTGAACCGGGCGAACTTGGATCGCATTCACTCAGCGCCGTCGCGCAGCTCTTTGTAGGCTTGTCTCGCCTTCCTCTGACGTGCCGACGCGCTCGTCGCGTGCAGCAATGGTCGTCGACTACAGAAGGGCTTCAAATAAAACTTTCAACTTTACTAGCGTAAATTTGACTATAATGTTTCGCAATTAAACTATCGCTACATAATTCTGTAACGGTCATGAGCAATTTACTCCAGCAAAAATTTACTGCCGGCGTAAAGCTTGAGTTAGTGCCTCAGGCAGGCGCAATTTTCTGCGGTGGAGTAGTCTGGCGAGGACGAGTACGTACGCAGCTTCACCAATTCTCCTGAGGTCTGAACCTCAGGTCCGTCGGCGCACCACTGTTTAGGCCTGCCTGATGACTGTGGGCCACCGGTGGGGGAGGCTGGATGAGGAACCGGAGTCACCGGTCCGCAGAAGCAAGCGATTGCGGCGTGGCCTCGCTTCCGAGACCAGAACCGTGGCTGATTGCGGCCTTCCCTCAGTGGCTCGTAAAAGGAAAAGAGCCAACCGCGGAAGCCACGGAATCTCAAGCCATGAGCCCGAGAGCAGGGAGGAAGATGGTAGCGCTCTCGACTTGAGCGCGGCGATCCCGACGTGGCTAGACAGTGAAATCGGGCCTCTGGCCACCAACGTGGCACTACACTCGCATTCTACGGTCCCCAACCTCAGTCGCGCTACAGATGTCCTTCCCCCGGACCGAAGTTCTTCGCCCCCCGCTGTTGTCGCCGGAGCGTCGACTGGCGACACGGCCGCGGGTGTCGACGCAGCTGTACTGCAGCGGCAGATCGCATCACTGCTCAACCGTGAGAGAGCGAGGGCTGATGAGCAACACATTTATATGCAGACAATGCAAGAAGTGAAAAAGCTACAAGGTGATAAGATCAATTCGTTAATGATCGAGGTTGCTCGGCTGAATGCGCAGGTGATGGAGCTCTCGCATGCCAAGGATGCGCTGGAGGTCCTGGTTGCAGGTTCATCTCGTGGAGGACGCCAGGCTGCCGCCGCTGCCAAGCGCGCAGTCATTGCGACCAAGAAGAAGCGTCAAAAGGACGAGGCATTCCTTGACACAATCACCCCGCTTCAACGCGACCTTGTCGTGGTGATGAAATATGCCTCTGATGACATTGCGCGTCGTTGCATGCGCAACTTTACTCCGATGGAGCAGTCGCCAAGAATTGCGGACTATCGATGGGTTCCCTCGCCTCTGAAGATCGCTGAAGGCGATGGGATCGGACCGCTGGGAGGCGGCACTCGAGCGGCGGTACCACCACTCGATGTGGCGAAGCTAGGCATTACAAACGGCGCACTTCTACCGCCGCAATTGTCTCCTACCATTCTGGCTCGCACTGCATACAAGATGGCTCTCGAAAGCGGATCGCTTACCAGTGCTCTGAGAGCAGCATCCAAGGAGGATATTTCGGGCGCATGCATCTTCAATGGCATTCAAGGGGCATCTAAGCTCTCTGCGGAGGTGGCTGACAAGGCGTCGTCATATATGTCCAGCCTCAAGCGAACGGTTTGGACCAGGGTGGCCAAGGTGTGGGACGTCAGTTGTATTCCGGTTCAAAACAAGCTGAAGAGTGCCTCAGTCGACTACATCATTCATGCTCTGAACAATGCTGCTGGCGAAGACGTGAAAAATATGGGAATTGCGTTTGCAGATGATGACAGCGGCGGGATCGACAAAATTATGCGAGCATGTATTGACTGTATTACCTCTGGTAGCCTAGACCACTGGCGTACAGTGGTGCCGCCTGGGCATTCAGAGAGCGATAATATTGGAGAGAGTGGCGTTGACATCTTTTTCGTTTTTGACACCGCTCGGGATATTTACAAGGAGTGGGCTGGACTACGATTGGGAAAAGAGCGCCTCAGGGCTGGCGTAGCATCAATTTTGACGCTCGCCCGCCTCGATGCCTGGATCGCGACGCGCTGCGTAATGCAGGTGGCACTGGCGAGGACAGCGCTGGGCATTGCGACAAAATTATGCGACGATGGTGCAGAGGAGAGCGATATACACTCTGCGTTGCTGAAGGTTCTGAGCAAAGGTGGAGTTTCGCACGCCATGTTCACTGACGTGCTTTCACATTTGTTACCGAAAGCAACGCTGGGTATTCACGAAACGTTGCGCGAAATAGTTGAGAGGGTTGCTCCAGAAGAGCTGGAGAAGACTCTGATCTCTGATGCCAGCGGGGAGACTTTTGAGCATGCAAACGATACGAGGGAGATAACCTTTTCGTACGTCTGCCCGTATTCGATAAAGGAGGGCAAGGACTGCGACCGCGTCGTTCTCAGACCTTCAGCATTCAAAAAATATGTCTGCGATTGGATCGGAGATGTGTGCGATGGCTTTGTGGGCGTTAGCGAGCTCACGTCTTCCCAGTTTGATCCGATACGTTTCGACGGCGAGGGGTAGTACTCAAACCTGGAGGCTTGTAATAGAACGTAAATACTAGTGCTATACCAAAAAGGTTCGAATAGTACACAACAATGAATTCCCGGCGATCCGTCCGTCTGTGCCTCCCCCGAACAACCAAGCATTTCTTGCGCTAGCATGTTCAACGTAAATTGCGCCGCGCCCCACATCCCGCACTCTAAGAACGAACAGCAGACGAGGGCAGTGACGGTGTCTTCTCATACCTTAGACGACGTCGAAGCCGCACAGCATGACCTGGACGACGCAGATGAGCATGGTGCCCAGCTTGCCCACATCGCGAATCGTAAAAAAAATCGCCACCGAAGCTCAAAGTATTGTTGAAGGTCGCTCTCTGTGCGTGGGAATGCTAGCGGCTACAGGCACGATTGTGCAACAGTGCAGGCGGATGATTTAAAAAAATCCAGCATGTCGTAATTGTTTGTAACATATATCGAAAAACAGGTTGACGTTTTCGGTTGGCAGGTAGTCGGGGTCGGACACCTCTTTCGTTTCCCACACCCGAGCTCGCCACTGCTCATATATCACCATGCTCGACGCTCCGATGTTCCCTAATGCCGACACGCCTTCCATTGCCACAGCTACTCAGCACACACAAGTGTCAAGGTACTCCCAAGAATGATCGATTCGAGCCTTTTCTGGCAGCTCATCGTCGTACAGCCATAGAACTTGACTACGTTGACCAAAGAAGAAGCACGATGAAAACGTTCAGTTCCGTGAACGAATGAAATACTACGTTAAGATGATCAAACGTGGCACGAGCTACAGAGAAGATCTTCTTATCAAACTTCACAGCAGTCGGAAGAAAATGGTCAAGCCAACTTCAGGAGGTTCTTGAGTTCAATTTCATTGGGGAAGTCGACGGGAGGTTTTCCAACACTGCGGTTAAGCAGAGAGATAAGTACGCATCAAAAAGTAGATGGAGAGAGGGATCGAACTGAGGACCTACGTGCGATTGGGGATCACGGTCCTATCGCCGCGATGGTGAGCCTCGGCACACCACTGGAGAAGGGGGCAGACGGGGTCGACATGAATGCAGTCCGTGCTGCATAGTTGTACGAAAACGCGATCGACAAGAATGACGTCAGCGCGATGGTCGCTCTCGGCTTGCTGTTGTAAAAGAGCGCAGAGGGGGTCGATAGGAACGCGGCTTGCGCCGTGTAGTTGTACGAACGTGCGATCGAAGTAGACCTGTGTGTCGACGCGATATACAAGCTTGGCAACGTAATGAGGGATGGGAACGACGGAGTTGGGAAGGATGGAGCGCGGGCTGTCAAACTATAGAGGAGGGCGATTGAGGAACAAGATCATGTCCATTCTATATTCAATTTCGGCACGCTGCTGGTATATGATGTGGAGGGATTCGAGAGAAACACGGCATAGACAAGTTCGAGCGTGCGATCGAGAAGGGTAATGATGTCGCTTCGATGGTCAATCTCGGTCTCTTCCTTCACAAGGGCACTGAGGGAGTCGAGACGAACGCGGTTAACGCTGTACGAATGGGAGATGGTGCATCTCGGCCTCCTACTGCAGGACGGCGCGGGGGGTCGTGAAGAACGGGGTTCGCGCCTCAGAGCTGTACGAGCTTGCGATTGACAGGAGGGACGATGTGCATGCATGGGACAATCTTGGTCTGCTGCTACACCACGGCACGGAAGGAGTGGAAATGGACGAGGTCCGCGCTCTGGAGCTGTACGAGCGTGCGCAGCGGTAACACTAAGTTGAATCTGGCTCTCCTCCTGACGGATGGAGGAGATGGGGTTGCAGAACGCTGCGCGGGCTGCGAAGCTGCTTGAGGATGCGATTGAGGAAGACGGTATGATGCATCTTGGCACGCTGATGCAGCACGGGGCGGACGGGGTGGGCCGTAACATAGAGCAGGCGGCATGGCTGTATACCATGGCGATTGAAAAAGACGGAACAACAGAGTGGCTCTGCGTTGTTGCGGGCGCTGGTGGCTCAGGCGGTATGGAGAATTACGAGTCTCAGATTATTCACGACGTGCTCGACTTGGACGAGACCGATGTCCGAAATCTCATGCGTCCCAGAGTTGACGCCGTTGCTTTTACGGTTACCAGCACTTTGACTGAGCTGCTGGAATAAGATTTTGAGTCTCACTACTGACGGATGCCTGTTTTCGAGGATAAGATTGATAATATTGTGGGGGTGGCAATGTTAAAATTTCTGTTACGCAACTGGCGAGGTGGGCTACGCGATGCGGTGGGGAAGCATGTTTCTTTTCAATCGGATGTTGAAGGGGAAGCATTTCGGGGTGAATTATCGGTAGAGCTATCGGACGTTCGTGGGAAAGTTGCTCAGGTGCAACCTGCACCAATTTTACGACGGGAACAGGGCAGAGTGACACTGAGAGGATGCGGGGGATTTATCGGCGGTACGACGAGGTGATCAACCTGTATGACGCTGGGGAGCTAATGCGCTGGATCGGGAGGTACTTGCGGAGGGAGAACGTGTCGGCGAAGAGCAGGGACGGGATGGAGGGCGAGCTGGACGAGAGGCAGCTGTACGAAGGGCTCATGGAGCGCGGGAGGGTCGGCGGAGACAAGAGGTCGACGGCGTTGCGCGCCACCAACCGGGCGTGCGTCTCGATGACGACGTGAGGGATGAGCGCGCGATCTGGCGGTGCAGATCGGCTGTCCTATCAGCTCCCCTGCACTTTGTGCACGAGCCAGCCTCTTCTCCGCGATCAACTTTGCCGGCGCGACGGCAGCGGCGCGCGTGTGGGGCAGGCGCACCGCGGGCGTGTGGCACGTCTGCGCGGACGACGGAGTCTTGGGCGCAGCTGTCGCTGTGCGGGTGGAGACGCTTCTGCAGCGCGAGCTGACGTCCGGAAGTGGTGGAAAGCGGAACAGGAGGTTACGAAGAGGGAGGAGGCTGGGCTGCAGGAGTTGCAGCGCCCCCTGTTGGCAGAGGAGCGTCGGATATTAAATGCTGGGGCGGGCAATGCCTCGACTGCAGCCACGTGTAAAATTGCGCAGGGGAGGAATTTTATTGAATTGCAAGGGTGGGCGGTGGGCCGATACAGAAAATTTCATTTATTTCTCTAACATTATACTCTGTCTTTATTTTCACTAATCAAGGGGGGGCCGATGCACAGGGGGGCCGATACTGTAGCACGTAATCGTCGGATATAAATTGGTTGGAAATTTACTTCTGGCACCGCCAGAAAGGTCGGTAGTCGTGCGCACGCAAAGGCGGGGCGATGGAGAAGGGGTTTCAGCAGGGGTGGTGTGCTTCGGTACCACTCCCCTGCTACCCTTTTCTTTTGGTCGCGAGTTCAATTCTGCATGAATACTGATAATAAATAAATAATTTGTTGAATTTTAAATAATGTTTAGATTAATACATAATTTGTAGATTTACACAATTTTAATTTTTTGGCAGTGTCCCGCTGCCCAATCTCATGAAGATTCGAACGTTGAGACGTTCTTCGGGCAGTACACGGATCAAGAAAACGGACTTAGCAGTGAGCGGAGCAGCTCAAGACCCAACGATCGATTTTACAAGTCTGCGGACAATGCGGCTGCGAAAGGTGCGTCAACCAAGTCTTCTCGAAACGGTGCGCAAGCTGAGACTTCCTTCGTACTGTAGACTACCCCCTTTTCACGACAAAACGGAAATTCTGGGTTGGTTCATCCCGCACGAACTCCAAACACTCTCAAAACGCGCCTGGGTTTAAACAAAATTACCATTCACTAGTGTAGTCCTCAGAAATTACTCAACATCATGTTGAGTAATTTCATGTCATGATGACTCTTCGACGGGACTTCTAAAGAACTGTCAACGGGGGACCGACGAGTACTCCATGTACGGCAAGGGTGCTGGGATAGCGGTTGTAGATACTGACTGCACTGAGGGTTGCGGCGCAGCATCAGATCAGATATCGATAAAACGGATTGTATCGCACTTTCGGGCCAAAACTAAAACTTGGATTGAATCCGCCATGCGTAGCCCATGAACACCCATGCACACCAATGCCTGCATGAGCTCGCATTGAACATATCTGAATTGGTTTGGCCACCATTGCCCCATGCAGACATAGACTGGTGCATGGACGGTTCCATGGAACATGTTTGGTATTGCATAGGACCAGGCCTAAGCAAATCCCCATGCAAAAGTTATGATAACCGCTCCAATTGTGAGCATGGGCTTGCATGGTCTCTGCATAGGAAATTTTAGAAAATCAGAAATACAGACGTAGTGCAATACGCACCTGAAAAGGGGGGTGAAAAGAAAGGAAAATATTTGGATATGAAAAGTAGTCCGGGTTGGGGGCACACGTGTGAATAATTGCACCGTTTTAATTTTTAATTATTTTCTTTTATTTAGTTAATTAGTTGGCATTAATTTTGCTGACACTTGATTAGATCTAGGATCTAGCGCCGCGAGCTACTGTGCTGGATCCGGCGGGGCGATATATACCTTAGCCCTCTGACGACCAAGTCAGTAAAGGTAACCCGAGTTGCCAGAGTTGAATATCGCCTTGGTCGAAGTCCGTCTTTCCCCAAGACGCTCCCTTTTACCACAGATTACGGTATACTTTGCGCTCGGGGGTTCCCTTTTCTTTTTCCTTTATTTCCCTATCCTTTTCTACCTCTATCTCTATTTTTCCCTTAATTGTGTTGGTTCCACTGGAGTTGGTTGCCACCGATCCGGTGTAGGTGTTTTAGCCATCGGGCAACACGTTGTGTAGCGCTGCTACTGTTTCAAGTTCCGTCGCAAGGCTGTTGTAACGACACCTCCGTCGAAGGTCTTGCTGTATAAGACAGAGTTGGTACCGCCTACCGCGATTGCGATCGCGCTGGTGAGGGTGTTTTTAGCCATCGGGCAACACGTCGGTAGTAGCGCTGCTACACGGTTACGATCCCGTCGGGTAGTGCTGAACAAGCCCCCGTCGAAGACCTTGAATTACACACAAGGTGCTGAAGACGCTCGTCGAGCATTGGACTTACAACCCAGCGAAC